ACAAAATGAAAACACATGCGAACATAGACCTCTGACAGGATGTCAGCCTCCTGCAGCTTCCTAAGCAAACATTTAAGGGAAAAAAAATCAAATTTGTAGACAATTTCAATTAACAGCTGTTTTTGTGGGTTGGCATTTTAAAAAAACCATCAGTCAGCCCACTTCCCCTTCAAACACCACAATTGCCATCTATAGGTTTGCTTTTCCTTCTCTTGCTTGCTTGCCTTGCCAAATGACAGAGGCTGTAACTCATACTGCAACATTTTTTGATGATTCGGTAGCTTTGGGCAAATTTTAAAACTGCTTCAGCAGCTAATCTTAGCTGAACATTGGGATTATATATAGAATCAATAAATGTTAAGGATATAAGACTTGTATTACCATCTCCTCAGAATACTCTTCTGATGAATGGAGCCCCATGTATTTTATCAAGTTGAAATTGCTTTATGCTGGATAAAATAGTCCTTGGTAGGGTTAGGGTAAAAAGTACCGCAGCATGAAAACTAGCATTGTTTTTTTTTTACTTATAAATTAAATTTTTCTTTTGGAGAAATTTGTTTTTCTTGCCCAATGGACTATATCCTGCAGGAGATATACCATTCTATAACAGGAATAATTGGCACTGGAAAGAAGAATCTAATATTCTCATCATCTTAATTTCATTTATCTAAACTGATTCTTATAGTAGAAAAGAGATACCACAATGTGTAATATACAATATTTCTGAAGTTGTGTGTCTTCATCTGGATCTCTAGCACCCTATTGTTTTCAACCTATTCTAACAAAAGCAGGTTTGAAAGAGAATTATATGAATCCAGCATAAAGATCAAATGACATAATTTGTCCATGAAACTAAAGGTGCAACTACAAACTTGATGGGCAGTTTTCAATAAATCAATTATCGACTCATATCTGGTCCAACATGGCTAAGGAACTTTGATTTGCCTTCCTCTGATGAAAGTTGGGATACAAACATGCATGTTTTCTAAACATTTTTCAGGAAAGAATTTTGCAAATAATTTATGCATAATTATTTGTGCAATAAACACACTCATTATAGCATTTAATATGCATAAGATGTGTTTTCAGGAAAATTTTCCTATGCAAATGAGTACGAGTTCCATAAGCATTTGTATCTCAACATTCTTAATTGTTTTTGTTACTATAAATCATATACTATATTTGATGTGAGGGAAAGGGAGCCATGAAATTCCCACTTCTCAATTTTTTAAAAACAATCACCTTAGAATATATACAACTCTGAATTCATAAAACTGCCTGAAGAGAAACCTTTACATGGAAAAAAATTACCCTAGAAAATGTTTTGGTACACATTTCTGGATACGAATATTGACAACAAAAGAAAAATATTCTTTTGATGTCTTGATGATAAACAGTTGATGATGGAACCAATTACTTAGAAAGTAACAAAATCATGTAAGGGTTGTTATTCCTTACAACAGTTTAAAGACTGGAACGTTTTCCCTGTGTTTAAAAAAAAAGGGGGGGGGAGGGGGTAAAGCAAACCACTCCATTAATCCAGAAAACAAAAGCAACCAAAAAAGGAAGCATGTTCTTTAAAATGCTTAAGATGCATTTTTTAAATGCAAAACTTTTTGTCTATAGTATGGAGAAGGAAATCTTTACCTACCTCCCGTACTGGAGAAAATGTAAATGCAGTTAACGGTGCAAGCGTTCCAACTTATTCAGTGCTCAGAAACAAAGTTCATCCAAGTAAGAATTTATTAGAGACGTCATATTGGCACATCTGGGGAAACCCAAATTTGAGAGTTCCGGGCTTTCCTTCCCCAAAAGAAAAATCAAAGATTCATCCCCTACACCCACCATTTATCACATGGCCCAGTCAACCATCATCCTAACTGGAGCCATTCCTCTAAGCACTCCCCTCCGGGTGCAAGGTGACATGTCCTTGACTTCCTGTGAAAGAATTTTGTTTAGTCTAATCTTCCACCGCTCTATGAAATCCCCCCTACCAAATTCCCAGGCACTAATAGTGGCAGTCTTGGAGCTTCTGAGTAAAATATGGCCTCCAAGGCTGACAAATGGGGAATCAGATGCAGAACAGAATGATTTGTAATATGAATGAAATTTGCTCTCTGGCTTGCTTAATGTCAAAAGGGAGTGGAAGGGATGGAATAGCTATAACTCATGACAGCTACATGAAACAGCCATGTTCACAGGTAAACTGTTGGGAAAGACAATATGAATTGGGCACTAGAGGAGCTGTAAGTCTACTTGAAGCACCAGAGTATTTGCTGATTTCTTTTCACATCTCATATATAGTGGCTCACTTTTCTGCCTTGATGGAATAATTTATCCTGGAAATCACTGACAATCCAAAAAACGCAGAAAAGGTGTGCCATTTTTTCCTAGAAATCTCAAGGAATTCCATAATAAGGCAATGAAAATTTATTACTGGAAAGAACAATTACTGTTAATAACATATATTTAATTTTTGTTGTGGAGATGGAGAAAAGAAGAATGAGAGAGCTAGTAAATATTCACTAAGTTACAAAATCCAGGCAGTTCAACCATTTGAATTTTAAAGAATCCACAAGTTTTGATGATCTCCCAAAACCATTTTTCCCAGCTGGGGATCCTTCAGATGCTAAAAAGATTCCATCACTTACTTTCCTTAAGAGTGTTGGAAGATATTCTATTGAGAAAAATTAGTCAAAAAGTAGTATGAACTTGTGCAATATGTTTGGTACAATACTATTCTGTGAAAATATTGCTAATGTAGGCTTAATTTATTGCTTTCCAAATTCATTAATTATAATACTCCTACAAATGAAATATTTTAAAACTTTTCCTTAAAACAATTTAAAAAACCTTTCAAAGTTCAGCCTGCCCCACCCCCTCAACTCTTCTTTATCATTATCCATCAGCTAGCCATGATTATATAGCAAATTAGTTTTACGTGACTCAGTGAAGGTTGAGCACCTATGAAACACAACTAAGTCCACAAAAACAAAGCAGAATAACAATGCAGTCTGGATGTACAGTTACATTTCTAAGTCAGTATTGCAGAAGCGATTCCCAGCTGTCATACTAGAAATGATTGAGGATTCTAAAACATTTCTAATTTGAAGATTTAATGAAAATAATTTCTGATGTTCTTCTAGCAGTTCTTTTTAACATTTTTCACTGTTCATTATCTAAATGTCACAGCTGTTGCGTCATTCCATTAGGTCCCAAATTTGCTTGAAATAAAGCTAAGCCATATACTCTAAGCAAGGGGTCTCCAACCTTGGCAACTTTAAGACTTGTGGACTTCAACTCCCAGCTTTGCTGGCTGAGGAATTCTGGGAGTTGAAGTTCACAAGTCTTAAAGTTGCCAAGGCTGGAGACCCCTGCTCTAAGCTACCTACAGACCACAAGACCCTGAAGGTCACTGACAAAACTGACTCTAGGTAAGATAGCCAGATGAGAGAATGTATAAATAATCTCTCAAATAACCTGAACACAAGGAGAAAGCAAGCTGACTCCAATTTCCTCTATTTTTTTGAAAAAGAAATTGCAAGAAGCAATTTGGGAAGCAAAGACATTTTAGGCTGGTACTGGACAGGTAGTCCTTGAGTTATAACCACAATTGAGCCCGAAATTTATGTTGCTAAGTGAAACATTTGTTAAGTGAGTTTTGCCCCATGTTACAACCTCTCTTGCCACAGTTTTAAGTGAATCAAGTGTTAAGTTAATAACATGTTTGTTAAGAGAATCTGGTTTTCCCATTGACTTTGCTGGTCAAAAGGTCGCAAAAGGGGATTACATGACCCCAAGACACTGCAATGATCATACATATGAGTCAGTTGTCAAGCATCTGAATGTAAATCACATGATCATGGGGATGCTGCAAGTCATGTGTGTGAAAATGGTCATAAGTCACTTTATTCAGTGCCATTGTAACTTTCAATGGTCACTAAATGAACAGTTGTAAGTCAAGAACTAACCATACTTCTCTTTTACCTACTGTATTTCCAAATCAGGCCAGGATAAAAGTAAAGGAGGCAAAGGAGGAATAACTATCATATATACTGTAGCTGGAAGATATTTTGGACAGATGAATAAAAGTGTAGAAACCTGAGATAAAACTCAGGTTCAAATTTTCACTTAGCCATAAAGATTGTGTATTATTTTAAACTTCCTATCTTCATCAAAATTACAAGGTTGTTATGAAAACATGGGAGAGTGAGAGAACATGTATTTCACTTTGTGGTTCTGAAGGAAAAATAGCAAATTCAATAATAAGTTACTTAACTTTTTAAATTAAATTGAACTAATAATGCATCTGTCCAACAGTGGACTCTTTAATGTAGCTCTTGGAGAACTGATATGAAAGCAATACAGAAGTCTGGGGTTTTCATCAATGATATACTATCTCTGAATACAGACATTCAACTAAGAACTGTATTGATTAATAAGCCCTGACTGGCTGTTCTAATCTATAATCAAAGCTATCAAAAGGTAGCAGTTATTACCAAAACACATTGTAATAATGGATTTACAGCATGAAGCAGCATTTCTTTGCACCTCGGAATAGTCTATCAATCAATTTCATTTTATTCTCTATTTCTATTACACATTCTAATGTGCTCTCTTCTCATAAATCATCTTTATTTAAAACTTAACCTGCCCTATTCAAATTTGCTGGAGGTTCATTGATATAAATTCTTTCATTTCAATCAATTATTATTCCCTATTATTTGGCACTAATATAACTTGTCTCACGTACCAAATATTGGCCTAAATTCATCCTTATCACAGCCTGTTCCTTCTCCTGCTAAATACGTACCTTTCTTTCTTTGTGAGTTAATTTCTGAGACGAGACTGGGCTCTTAAAACTGAAAGAAGAACCTTCAACCAACAGGAAATGGGAGTCGAGACACACTGTCCACACGTTATATAAAGCCAATTCCTTTCCCCAGCCTCCACCCTTTGCTCCCGTTCATACCTTGACCTGCCAATGGCAGTTTACTTACCTGGATAGTATCAGGGAAATGTCGATCTTCCAGGCCGCAGAAAGGTTGGGGGCTCACACCAACAGATCTGTGAACAACCACGCCAACACTAGAGCCCCCCTCCCTCCCCCAGGGCCCCTAGGAAGCGTTTCAGCCTCCCCAATTCCTCCAGCCAGGAGGCATAGCCGGTGCCCCCCTTTAAAAAAACGGGGGGGGGGGTTCCTGGTAGGCCAGGAAGACTAAGAAAGCTTCGTTTTCAAACAGCTCCCCCGCCTCGCCCCCTCCCCCTCCCCCCGAGAAATTGGGCACAGAGAAGCTTGACACGTCAGGTGGAAGTCGAGAGCGGACCTGAGCGACAGACCTCGGAAGAGACTTGCTCCTTGGAGGGAAGGAGAAGCCGAAAAGAATGGGAGCCTCTGGGAAGGCGAGAAGAGAGAGAAAGAGAGAAGGCGAGCACGGACTGGGTTCAAAGGTCACAAAGGCAAGGAGGTCACGGAGGCCAGTTCTCCAGGGAAAAAAAGGCTTCGCAGGTCAGAAGTCACAGGCGGGACTCCGGGGGCCAGAAGGGAGGAGGAGGAAGAGGAGGAGGAGCAGACAACTCAAGTCTCGTCCCTGTGGAAAACCTCGGCCAGACCCCACGTCGGAAGACACCCCCAAACACCGCCCCCCCACGCCGTAGGCTCTCTCCCGTATCCCAGGCAATGCAGAGAAATCTGGGCCAAGGGAGGGCCGCTCTACCGCACCAAGACTCTATGGCCCTTCCGAAGGCTTTCGGCCTCTCTCAGCCCGAGGGGTAGATGCGGCACTAGCCGTGCCGGGAGGACGGCCCGCAAATCGGAAGCGGAAGCCGGCTCAACTTCCACCTCCAGGTGGTGCCCATTTCCGCCCTCATTCTTCTCCATGTTGAGAGTCCGGTAGTTCACGCATCATAGAGAATCGGGCCAAGACAAAAAAAAAATTATTTTATGTTATTTATTTTGTCAAGCGATTATAAGATAACAGGTATAAATATAAACATAGTTATGAATACATGAAATGGGTACATATAAGAAAAAATAAAAGAAACAATAGGGATAGGGACAGGGACGGTAGGCACGTTGGTGCGCTTATGCACGCCCCCTACAGACCTCTTAGGAAATGGGTGAGGTCAACAGTAGAAAGTCTAAGGTTAAAGTTTTTGGGGTTTGGGCAAGAAACCAGAGTCAGGTAGAGTATTCCAGACATTGAGCACTTTGTTGCTGAAACTGTATTTCCTGCAATCAAGTTGATTGAGCCGGGATCAAAAAACCCCACAAAACACAAACGGGGAATGCAAACGGTCAGGTCGTATAGATTTTTAAAAAGTAAACGTTTCATATGACGTTTAATTGAGCATAAGTTTTTCTTTCATTTCTTCATATATAAGCATTCTGATGCGGGGGGAGACCCTATTTCTACCACCACCACCCCAAATTTCAGAAATAGCAACTTTTATTTCACTACATTCAGGGCAAACCTTGCCAAATGTTTCATGAACAAAATGGTATTGTGTGAATGTAACCCATGCTTTTGTAAGTCAGAAAGCAGTTGTTTATACTTAGGGTGGGGTGGGGGGTGCTCCAGTAAGAGTTGCAAATGTTTCTGTGATTATACTGAACTTCTTCCCAACCGCCGCCTAACATTGGTATCTGCTTTCTCAAATTGGCGATCCCCACCCCAAGGGAATATCAATCAGAAATGTGTCCTGCAATGAACAGTAGCCAATCCCAAATCACCACCTAAGGAACAGCACTAGCATTTCCTGCATGATATTAATATAAAGATAAGTTTGAGACTGGATCCATGAGGGAGGAAAATAACAATCTCTCGAGTCCCATCTTCTGCCTGTACCTATAAATGCAATATTTTGATAAAGGCAAGAGACTACTCCAAATCATCACTCTGAATCTTTTATTTTTATCTTACAGATTCAGCAAATTTTCCATTAAATGTAAAGAAAACTCAGTTTATTTTTAACATTAAAGCAGTTTGTACCCAACCCATAAAAGTCATCCCATTTGGCATGTTAAGTGATAGCATACAGTCCCCGTCCCCCCGAAAATCCAGTAGTCTGATTGACTACAAAAATATGTTTATTGAAGCTGGAGAACACTGGTTGAATAGAAAAGTTTTCCTGTTATGTATGAAATTCTACAAACTAGGCACATACAAAAGAATGGTATAGCTGGAATAATAAAGGATCTTGTAAGCATGTATACATAGAAAATAATACAATGGCATTGTCTACTTTAGATATTTTGCTAAAAACTCAAGACCCTATCTAAAAATACTAATTTTCTGAGAAATCTAAAGCAGATAAAAGATCAAGCAAAATTATTTGTCATCTCCCATTCCAGCCAAATACTGAAGGTTCAATCCAAAAATAACAAAAACCCACAGAAAATTAAACCCATTCACTGAAAGAGGATACTGATATCAAGATGTCAACATCATGCATCTGTTAAAAGGGAAAGTGTGTTGTGAAAACCTGCAGAGATAAAGCCTCCCTTAGGTAGACATTTTGAATCATAGACCCTTTTCATTTCAGTAACTCCTCAGATGTTCATGGAAGAGACTACTATTTGTCCCTAGGATATCTTTAAAGTCATTGGTGTTTTAAAAAGCCAGTATAAATTTTGCACTTCTGATCTATAGCAACTGCAGCTTTAATCCTGGCTACCTATTTGTTAGGTTTAGTGATTAACATTGGTCCAGAAGATTGGATTTTTCTCTTAATTCTGTTTCACATCGTTGTGCTTGTGAGAAAAACATTTGGGAAGAGATATTTTTCCTATTCTGAATGTAATAAAATATATTTAAGAAAAACATAGGAAAGAAAATGCATGTCAAAATGTCATTGCTCTAGAGATATTTATAGCTTTAATATGCTGTTACTTTAGCAGTCACAGGCCTTAAAAGGTAAGCATTTCCCATTACTGTGTTACTCTGCAGCAAGAAATATATTTGCCCACTTACAATTTTCAGCTGATCAATGTGTCTAGCTTTCCTATTTGAAATTATGTTCACGAAAACTTGTTTTCTCCTTAAAATTGGAATATCTGTCCATACTAATCCTACTTTTAAGCAGGATTGTTGATACATACATATATGTATGCATGTGTGTGTGTGTGTGTGTGTGTGTGTATGTTTTCTGAGGTTCTCGCGGATATTTGTACGTGGATCTTTGGTTATTCGGGTTTTCTCCTGCGTAAGATTGGCAGTATCTAGGCAACGTTTCGATGAAGTCTCATTCATCATCTTCAGGCTTGTGTCTTCGGCTCTGTGCTTCTCAGAGGCAC